CACTGGGCAGAGCCCTGGACAACCAGAGTATATGGTAGTGTTGCCATTTCAAAGAGCCTTACGGAAGTCATCTGCTCTGACAGCCTGCCTTTCTTTACATGGAGAACCTTCCAGAGAGACAACAGAAGGTAAAAATTGGACCAGTGATCTGGACTGCAGAGAAGTTGAGTTTCTAGCTTTCACTATGATAAAAAAGCAACTATTAAGTGAAAATCAACAAAGAGCCGAAAGTGAGGTGTCCTCCCCGGGCCCACCAGCACATGCTTCCCACGAGTAAGTAACTTCAGTTCTGTAGAAATGAAACAAAAATAGTATTTGTTTTCTTTTAAGTTATATGAATTTTTCCCAAGAGCTACTAATTATTACATTGTTTAGACCTAATTACTTGCTAAACAAAACTTTGGCACTTTTTCTTTTTTTTTTTTGGTCCTGTGACACTGAAAAGATGACTGCACGTGGACAGAAAGTCTGCCTCAGAGCGCAGACACTCCAACCCTGGGGAGCAGGTGTCCCAGGAGGATATCTCCTGCACAGCGCCTCAGGGAAGCTTCCAGAACGGGCTTAGAACCAAACGGGCCTGGGGGCAGGAAGAGTACCCTTTCTTCTGACCCCAGACTCTCATCCTGTCTGCTTGTGGCCCCTCTGAGGTCACAGCTGCAGGACTCCCCAGCCTCCAGCCCCTGGCTGCCCAGAGCCCTTCCTGCCTCCCCTCAGCTTTTTGGAAAAGAAAGAAGTGAACGAATGATTAGCTGGTTAGTGTCTGAAAGTTGGTGTCTAAAAGCCTGGCTCCCGACCCCGGTACCTGATACCTAGCAGGCAGGGATTCAAATGCCATAGATGGGAGCTCACTACCTCAGAAAGCAAAGTGCCCGCTCATCTGTCTTCCTGCCCCCACCCCGAACCCCATCAAACACACCAGTCTTTGCCCTCCTCCCTGCCACCCATCTCCCAGCAGGGACCACCAAATTTCCTGGGACTGTGCCTTCCTTCCCTTCCTGGACTATTCTGGAAGGAACATAGCCCCATGGGGCCTCTGAATGCCTATGGTGGAACAAGAACAAAAAAACCCACATCTTTTCTCCAGGGTCATCCTTAAATGAGAATGTTGAATCAGACCTGTGACCATGGGTCAGTTATGGAAGCTCCCTCTGTGAAACAGCAGAGGGCGCTGCCTGGAAGTCACCCTCCCCATCATCTTCAGGGAGGGTGCCAAGCAGCGGTGTGGAGCAGACACACCACACCACAGGGTTGACTCTATCCTCAAGTCAGGTTGCAGAATTTCCATTTGAATATCAGCAATCAGGAAAGAATTCCACTCACTCAGCTATGATAGAAACATCTCCCTCCGACATCTGCATTCCTCTCTATGCCAGTTTGGAAGTAGTTCCCATTCCCATGCTCCTGGGCTTCTGGGAAACAGTCTCAGGGGGCATCTCTGATGCCCAGAAAATGGGGTGGGACCACTGTCTGCCCCTGCCACAACCTCTATATGAGCCTCACAGGGTCTTTGGAGGGCTGGCAACCCCTGCCATCTGGACTCAGGTGCCACCACGCCAGGAGTCCCTCTGAGGTCCTGCCACCCATCTAAGGATCCCCGCTCCCCCTCCTCTCTGCGTTCAAATGGGTTGTTTGGGGTCAAGGCTTTCAAAAAACCCACAAGGTGGGGGCAAAGAAGGAGCCCCGTGCAAGATCAGCACGTGGAAAGGGCCAGCTCTGGAAGCCCCCAGCCCAGTGCCACCTAACACACAGCTTGCTCGGGCTGCAGCTCTCCCAAAGGCACACTGTAATGCACATCTTCATTAAAGAACAGGAGTCCTCACCTGGGAGCAGAATCGAGGCAGTTCTCAGCTCCCCACCTCTCTTCCTGCACCATGGAAGGTTGCCCGAGCTCAGGGTCAAGCTCACTCTGCCTCCCAGCCACCTGGCATAGGCAGAGAGTAGGGACTGAATGAGGGAGAAGCAAGCAACGGAAGGAGACTAGAGGGGCCTGGCAGGGGAGGTGGCAGGAGGCAGGACTGAGGGGACAGCACTCACCTGCTCCATTCTCTGCAGAGCCCATCACGGCGGGACAGCTGTCCTTCAGGAGGGTACAGCCACCCCCTTTGTGTGTGAGGAGCCAGCAGCCTCTTGGGGAAAACTCCTCATAGCTCTAATCCCAGGGCCCCACAGTTGGGGAGGCGGGGGTAGGAGTCTGCTGCCTTGGCATTGGCCCCCACCCCACTCCCACAGCCCAGGTTCCCAGTAATGCTATAATTGGGTGGGATTTTCGCTGAGAGAGAGGGGAAGTCCAGAGGAGGATGAGCCAGCTCCCAACCTACCCACCCCGCCTCATTCCAGAATTCTTCCTTCCTTCCCTCTGCGGGTGAGGGGATGCAGTGACTCAGAGGAGGGGTAGAAGGACCCAGTGACTCAGAGGAGGGGTAGAAGGACCGGGCATGCGTAGACTCAGCTGGATCCCATTGGCAGTGGGGAGGAAGAGGAACATTCCTTGAAAGAGAATGGCTCTCGCTACACATCGAAGAAGGGGCTCCTAACACAGTCACTGAGGTGACCCCTGGTCCAGAGTCCACAGGACCCCACAGGCTCCCTTTGCAAATAGGGGAACGAAGGTTGATGGGGGCAACGTGATGCGGGGTGCAGCCTGCCTCTTGTTTTCCAGCCCAGTGCTAACACTGGAGGGTTGTTGAGCCACTCCCTACCTCAAGAAGCAGCCACTTGCCAGCTCAAGGTCTCTCCGTGGGGGCCCCCACACTCTGCAGGTCACATGGTGAGGCAAGGCTCAGGGGCTGTGGAGGAGCAGATGGTCCACATGAGGAGAGACATCATAGAAGAGCCTGCAGTTGGGATTTTTATTCACAGTTCTGCTCGCCTCAACTGCAAAACAGTGGCATGGATCCCCGCTGCCCTTTCCTCCTAGAGTCATTGAAACTGATGGGATCTCCCACTGGCACGGGGCTGGCACAAGGTGGGGAAGCTGGGGAGATTTCTCAACTTCGATGATCTTCCTCTCCCCAAATCACCCTGGCCCCTGTCTCCCTGGGCTACAGACAGATATGCAAACAGAGCTTTGCAGTGGGCTGGGAGCTGGACAACTGACTGGCCACTCTTTGTGACCTTGGATAAGTCGCCTTCCCTCTCTGATCTTACCTTTCCTCATCAGCAAAAATCATAAGGCTTACCTAAGTTGTCAGAAATCCCTTCTGGTTTAAGAGGCTAGCAGCCCTCGGCAGACTCCGTGGTCTGTGGCCCAGAGTGAGGGCGCTCACAGCCCAAAGCGCCCAAGCTGCCAATTCCCTTCTCTGGGGGGTGCGGGGAGAAAGTGGAGGCGTCAACACCTGGGCCCTAAGAAGAGGCAGACTGTTTCCCAATAGTGCCCTTCAGACACGTGGCTGCACCCTACACGCCCACCCTGCAGCTGTCCCCAGACAGGCCACCTCCATCCTGGCCGCTCGCCGTCCGCCCAGCTCCCAGCGGACCAGCAAGATGTAGCTCGAAGAGCCAGCCTAGAACGAACGGACCTCTCTAGCAAGGAGATGGACGAAAGGGAGCCGCAGCCCGACCACCTTGGGGCCAAGGGACAGAGCGCGCGATAGAGCAGGAGCGAGAGCGGGACAGCGCGTCCCACGGTGAGCGCAGGGTGCGCGGGCCTCCAAACCTAACGCCCTTGAGTCCTGCGGGGGCGCGACCCGGGAGCTCAGAAGGGACACCTGCGGACCATGCACTCCCGGATACCCGCCGGCCGCCAGGCCCAGATGCCCCTCTGGCGGAGCGCAACCCTCGG